GAAGAAGAAGAAGAAGAAGAAGAAGAAGAAGAAGAAGAAGAAGAAGATTCAGCAATGGTGATTGGGACAGAAGCATTTTCATTTCCTTTAGCTCTCTAATGTGACCTAAACCATATTACTTTTAAGAATACCAATTAATCAACCTTTTCGAAGATACTAAGAAAGTCAATTTATGAACTAACTGGCCAGGAGGCTGCAGAATTTGAATTAGATATTTATTTATGTATTATATACATAGAAAATCTTTATTTTTAATTTTTGTTATTTTTTTCCCTTTTCTCGTACATACATACAGATAAAGGCTGAAAGTTTAGGCTTGCATTTCAAAAGGAGGTCTTCTGTCTAATGTTGTTGTAGAAATTGGACTTTATGGTTAAGACACTGGCAAACAGATCTCATGGGATGCCACACACAGAATCTACTTTCCAGATTCTGTGGCCCTTGCTCAGAGCATCTCAGCATGGATTATAGTCTCTGGTGACCACCTCATGTGGCACACGGCAGGCTGCCTGTGGTTTTAATGTGCTACCATAATTGCTTGAGCACCTACTATGTGACTAGGACAACAGTTTTTATTCTAGATGTTGTCCATCGTCAACACATGGGGAACCACAGGTGAGCAAAGCTTGTGCTTTATTTCTGATTGACTTGGCCAAAAAAAAAAAAAAATTCATTCTTGCATGCCTCTTGGATGACTAGATGGTCTTCTGACTAATTCAATTTAGATACAGATTTTACTAGAAAAGAAACCCTAACATGGATAACTGTAAGGGGGTCAACTCTGCAAGGCATCTGACTCAAGGGTCTTTCCCTCAGCAACCATGGGAATGGACTTCAAGGGTGTCTTTTGCTGTGTTTTTCTTCTAATCTCAAAGTCCCTAGACAGCCCAGTTGGGAGGTCCTGATGGTGGACCATCTTGCTGTGGTCTTCAAGAACTCAGTTTTACAGGGGTGAAATATGGAAAGTCTACCACTCTGTATATTAACTGTTATTCTTAGTCAAGGAGTACTGCTAAGTGAGCCCATGTTACCTCTGGATTTCTTCAGTTACTTACTAATAAAAAGACTGAGCTAGCAAAACTTGAAAGATAGGTGTGTGTGTGTGTGTGTGTGTGTGTGTGTGTGTGTGTGTAATGTGTATGTGTGTACATGTACACACACACATTCTTGAACACCAGTTCATTAAACTTGAAATCACTAAATAGTCTTAGAGAGGGCATTACATCCACTGGTAAGTTAGTGTGTGGGTACAAGGACACTATACAGTCTTAGAAGTTCTTGTATATGTTTAAATGACACAAAATTTAATAGGAAAGTTTCCTGTGCTGATTTTAAAATTATGTTAACTTTCATTAGTGATCACAAAGGAGGAATGGTCTGGGAATACAGTTTATCATGTTAAAATGTGCATTTAACATATGCTAACTTTATTTCGAAAGGCTCATAGGAGAGCCTGAATGCTTAGAGGTTCTCCTGCAGCATTGGGGGCCCTGGAGGAGGGACTGGCTTGCTTGCCGGAAAGGAAGGCATGAAATTCTTGGCTTTGTGATTCCTAACTGCTGAGACTGCAGGAGTTCTTATCTTCTGCACAAAGACTGTTGTTTAGACATATATGGAGGCTGAACAAAGCCCCGTTAATGAACACTTTGTTATATATATATAATTTTCAGAGTCTTTAAAATGCAAGGAAAAATAGCATCCTAGAAACAGGATTTGATGCAGCCAGGAGATTTAAACATTAAAAAAAACTTCCTAGATTGCTTAGTTGATCTGCTTGTGGTTAAAATATCGGCACAGGACAGTGGCACTCGCTGCCAAGGCTGAACACTTGAACTTCGAGCTTCATCGGGACCCACATGGACACCATCAAGTGGTTGTGTGACCTCCACACTGAGCCATGGCACTCAGGCTTTTACCCACCCACTCACCCACCCCAAATAAGTAAAAATAGACCTTCAAGACATTAAGTCTCTGGGCAAAATGACTCAGTGCCTCCTGCACCCCTTATTGAGACTTAGTGCTAGGAGGGGGGGTCTTAACATGCCAAACCTTGTGTTACGCAAGAGGTCCCTGGGGTACCGAGGCCAAGTTCATGATGAACCAGGAAGCCAGGGGCAGAAAACAGACTCTCAGTTCAGGGTCTTTTGGTCCCATCTCCTGGCCAAGGCCTGGTGACCACAGACGCTAAAACGGACCCACTCAGATCACATCAGCCGTTCCTACCTTTCCAGCAGATGCGATTGATTGATCATCACAGTCAACCAGTGGCACTTAGAAAAAGGGACTGGTCCCTTTAAGAGCAGAGATCACTTTCTTCCTTTTTTTCAATTGAATATTTGCATGGTCCTGAGGCTGTGTGAGCATGGAACTTTCCAGAGTAACCTCACAGGGTTTGTGATGAGTTACAGGGGTCCCCTGACCGACTGACTGGCAGCTTGTAGACCCTCATGGGCTGCGTTCCTGGTGACTCTGGCCTTGACGTTGTTGAGTGACCTTGGCGTGAGCCGACGACCCAGTCCCAGACAGGAAGGGGGTGCATACCTCAGAATCACCTGTGCTGCCTGCTGGAGTCACCGCCCCTGGGGTCGCTCCCGAGGACCCTGCCATATTACCGCTAGAGGAAGCAGCCCTCGTCGCCTAGGCAACCGGGGTGGGACCCAGTGTCGCTGACGGAACCCGAGCCCAGGCCCCGCCCACCCATGGGGCTCCGAATGAGGCCACCTGCTGCTCGAATTACAGTGGGAACTGAGAAATTTACTTAAGCAATTCCAGTATTGTTGCCTAAGGCTTACTATAAACGGAAGGTGATAAATGATTGGGGGCTTTGGCTATTGATTATCGGTCTTAAGCAATTTTTGTAACATTTAAAAGTCTTACCATGGCATTGTGGCCTTTAGAAGGAAAAACTGACCGGAATTTTAGAGATGCAGATTTAGCTAGTGATGGAGATGAGGGTCTGCAACTTATTTCAAAATATCGAGGGAGACAGATGGAACTGGGATTGCTGTAGAGATGGAATTAATACACTGTCTCTTCTTGCACGTTTGAAATTTCCATAATAAAAATCCTGGAAACAACAAGGTATTATATGTATTACAATACGTATTATATATAGTATAATACACACACACACACACACACACACACACACACACACACATATATATATATTATATACCTTCTTTGTTTTGAAAGGGTCTCTAGTAGCCCAGGCTGAAAGTGACCTTGAATTCCTTATCTTCCTACCTCCACCTCCCAAGTGCTTACAATCAAGGCCAAGGGCATCATATCACTTTATGCAATGTGTAGATTGACTCCAGGTCGCCCGAGGGCTCAGCAAGCACTCTAACCACTGAGCTACAAGCCAGACCCCGCATAGTTTGATTCTTTGGTGGTTCAAGAGTTCCTTTGGCTGTGGAATGTACTACACCACGAATTTACCTGCGTGGAGGTTGATATGCAACATGCTGACTGTCAAATCCAGACACTAGGGGCTTAGTTTCCCCATGTACAAAATAAAATTAAAACCACTGCTGGCCTCAAAGCTTTCCAAAGATATTGAACATGCACTGACTGATTTTAAGTGTCAACTTGACACATACTAGAATCATCAGAGAGGAAGGAGCTTCAGTTGAGGAAATGCCTCCATGAGATCCAGCTATAAGGCATTTTCTCAGTTAGTGATCATTGGGGGAGGGACCAGCCCATGGTGGGTGGTGCCATCCCTGGGCTGGTGGTCCTGGGCTCTCTAAGAAGGCATGCTGAGCAAGCCATGGGAAGCAATCCAGCAAGCAGCACTCCCCCATGGCCTCTGCATCAACGCCTGCCTCCAGGTTCCAGCCCTGTTTGGGTTCCTGTCCTGACTTCCTTCAGTGATGAACAGCAATGTGGAAGTGTAAGCCAAATAAAGCCTTTTGTCCCAATTTGCTTTTTGACCATGGTGTTCTGTTGTGTCAACAGAAATGCTAACAAAGACAAACTGATCTTTGAATTAGAAAAGTTCTGGGGGTCTTGGCACCTCCTAGTGTTCTTAGTGATAGCGTCTGTATTGTGCTTTCCTTGACGGGATCCATCTGATACAAAGTTATCAGTTGGCCAAGTCAGTAGCATCTTTTGTTGCCTTTCAGAGCCATTTAATGTGTCGCTTTGCGTAGCTCTGTCACTGCATCTCTCCTTCACGTGTTCTCACTCCTTAAACAACCCAAGTCTTGTCCTAGCCCACCTGTGTTCAGAAGTCTCCTCTAGTTTAGTTCACACACGGTCCATCTCTTCCGATTGGTTGTAATGTGGTCTTTTCCTGGAATTTTTACTTTTCAAGGGGCTGGCTGAGTTCTCAATACGAAGTACAAACTTAAAAACATTGTTATGACTTTCAACCCCATTTTAAAAGGACTACATTAGAATGTGTTCAATTAGTGAGAATATAGTCAATTCATAGTTATTGCCAGACTTAATATGAGCCACTAACTTTCAAACTCATTACAGTGTTTAATTTTTTTTCCTTTTGATCTTTACTCCAAAGAAACAGAATGCAGCTAGTCACCTTCTATGAGGTTAGAATGGCCCACATTCCTGCAATTTAGTGCTTGCAAACTGCAAACACATTTATTTCTCCTAAGAGTAGTTTGTGGTTTCCTCTGACAATGAGATGTATTTAGCTATCCCTTAGTTGTTTTGCTCTTTTCTTTGGCACTTTTACAGTTTTATTCATCACGTTTCTAGTTCTGGACCCTAGAAGTAGATGGATTATTACATTAAAGACGGAATCTGTAACAGGAGGACTACCTCAGGAAACACAAAATTCCAAATTTACCTTAATACATTTAATGGTATAATTTATAGGGAAGTGAGTTTGGAGGTAGTCATTTAATTTTATGGGACAGAATGTTTCCCCCCAGTATAGAATAGTGTTGAAAACCTGTCAGTCCCAAGGTTTCTTTAATTTGCAGAAGTTTTGGCTGACATTAGCCTCCCACTTCTTTGGGAAAGGCATGCCAGTGAGGAAGATTTCTCATTAGGGGTGGTTCAGTTAAGGCTTCCTACTCAGGCTTCTCTTGAACATAAAGGCTTCTAAGTGAAGCCTGCAGACTGCCACTTCTTAGCTTTACATTGCTGCTTTAGTATTGGAAGAGAAAATAAAGCACCGATTTTGGTGTTTACAGTGATGCATTTGTTTTCTTGTTAATTCTCTGACTTTTGGCACATTTATAAAATGTGGGATGATTTGGTGTAATTTGATCATTTAGCTAGACTCTTGTAATGAAAGTGCTCCAGGCTCCATACCCTTGGCGATGAGAATTTTCAGAATTTTTCCAATTCAAATATAGGTTGCATGTTCAAAGAAAATTGTGCTTTTAAACATGAGAGAAACACACAGGAGCGGAGGAAGAGACTAATTTGATGATGAACATTGGTATGTGTTCAGTATGTGTTGAACAGTAATATGTGACCAATCTCAGTGGTCCTGAGATCTCAAGGTTTTTACAACAGCTAAACATTTCAGCTTCACCCTTCATGATTCTACCATCCCTGATTCATGTTAAATATCAGGCTCTTCAACAATAGATGAAATAATGTCACAAATGAGATTCTCAGTATCTTAGGAGCTCAAACACTATCATTCCTAAAATTTTCAGTTGTGTAATTGATAGCCATGGAATTCTTTAGAGGATCAGGCCAGAACATTCAAATTCATCCTTTAAGTGGTAGTGAGAGAATCCAGAATTCTGGAGATGGAATTCAGACAACACACTGTAGCTAGCCTTGAAATAATGTAGAATTGTTTGATATAAAAAGGAAAACACAAAGCTATTTAATTGGTAAGTAATTTCCCTTACCCATATATTTAATTTTTTTAAAAGCAAATTCTAGTTGCATCCTGCTGCTCTGTCAAAACACTCTGAACAAAGCATCTTAAAGGAGGGAAAGGGTCCATGTGGTTTATACTTCTAGGTCACAATCCATCACTGAAGTGAGACAGGGCGGGGACTGAAGCAAAGAGAGCAAAGAACATGGAAGACCATTGGCTGCCTTTCTCTCTGGTTTCTGCTTTCTTCCTTTTTATATATCTCCAGACCACCCTCCTTGGGATGGTGCCACCCACATCAACCATCCATCGTGACAGTTCTTCACTGACAAGACCACAGGCCATTCTGATCTGGGCAGTTCTTCAGCTGAGGTTCCTTCTTCCCAGGTAACTCTAGACTGTAAAGAGTTAGCAGTGAAGGCTAACTAGTGCAGAAAATAGTTAACTAATTATAAAGCATATTTAAAATTTTCATAACCGCTACCTAATCCATGAAGCTCCTTTTATTTCATTCAAGTGTCTAATGTAGGTGGATATAGGGACTTGGTGAGGTCTTATCTTGATAAAACATGCTTAGGAGATAAGAAAAAAAAACTGATGAGCACTGTCAACATTGATTATCAGTGAATTTAATAGCTCTCTATTCCATATTCCCTCTACTATGATGTGTAGATGGATTTTTCTTTGGGCTACTAGCTCACAAATAACGACATGGAAACTTATTATTAATGATGAAAGCTTGGCCTTAGCTTAGGCTTTTTTTCTAATTAGATCTCATAACTTAATTAACCTGTTTCTATTAATCTATGTTCTATCATATTGCTTGGTTACCTTTCCTCTGTCCTGTATGTCCAACTTGTTATGTGTCCAGTTGGTGTCTCTTGTGCCTAGATTTATCCCTCTCACTCCCCCTCTCTCTGCCAGGATGTCCCACCTATTCTCTTCCTGCCTAGCTATTGGTCATTTTGCTCTTTATTAAACCAATCAGAAGGTGCTTTGGCAAAGACCTATCTTCACAAACAAATATTCTGCAACAATGATGTTCCACCTAAGCACAAGGAAGCAAGTGTCCCTGGAGAGAGCCCTCTGAAATCATGAGCTGAAATTAGTGGTTTGTTCCTTAAGTTGCTTGAATTGGATACTGTGTTCACAACAACAGTAAAAGTAACTAATGCAGCAAATAGTTACTAGAGAAGAGGTGACCCTTCCTTGACTAAACCTTCCTGACTGTGTAGTCCTTAGGCTTCTGAACTGGTCATTAATCTGGTAGGAACTGGACTAGAGGCCATTCATGGTATATTCCAGAAAACAATGTGTTTGTAATTTATCTTGGACTTGAAATTTTGTGGGGGGCTAGCTTCAGAGTTGAAAGACAAGTTACTTGGGTGGAAAAAGCTTCGAAACAGCCCCGCATTCAGGCTGTAGCATGGTCATTGGTGGCCTCTTGGAGTCATATTTACTTTGAGAATCAGGAGCAAAGAGCCAAGTCTGGGGATTTAAATAACAGAATTTGGGCCAGAAAGGAGTGGATGAGAAAGGTGTGGACTAGTGAGAGGTCAGCACCATGACAGAGAAGCAAAGTGCTTTGCAGTGGGTCAATAGGAAGATGCCAGACCCCACCCAGCACTTGCCTCAGGGTGTGAAATGTACACTTGTTTAAAATACGCCCCCCCCCACCCCCCACCCCCCGCAACCATCACTTTACCCCTGAAGAGAAGTGTTTTCTAAGGTTTATTATCCCAGGTACTCAGAGCCTTCAGTAGCTGTGGTCTAAGGAAATCTGGCTACTGGTTTGAGCTCGTAACAGACCTTGGCATTGTACACAGTGGTGATTTTGTAAGTACTGATAATGTAAATGTTTTAGAGTCATGGGTTCATCTACTAAGATTTATGGAATGCCTGCAAACCCAGGCAATATCTCATAGCATCAGAGCCTTCAGGGAGTCCATGTATGAAGCTGTCAAGCTGAAGTCTAAACTGTGATGGACACTTCAAGATATTGTCAGCTCCAAGAACATAGACCCTGAGCTGTGGACATCTCCATGAAGTGAGTAGAGCCAGACTACAGAGGCAGAGCATCTCAAGTCACTCAGAGTTCACCTGCCTGGTGTGCTAGATGTGGAGCTATAGGACTTAATGCTTTCCCTGATGGATGTGCAGGGCATGTGATGTGATATGACCCTCTTTTCTCCCATTTGGATGGAATGTCCACTTTGTCCCATTGCTTATTAGAATTGTGTAAATTGTTTCTTGGCTTTTTA